TTTTTTATCAACAACACTATCTATTCAATGATCCACAATCTCTCTTTACAGCTAACTATTCATGTTTTTTGAATAGTTTCAGCATTCCTATTTAAAGGTATCACAAAATAGTCACAAATAGCACTATTTAACTATAAGACAGGTTTAGTTGACGGTGGGCTCAGTATTTTACTAAAATAGGTTATCACAATATTCTAAAAGAATAATAATTAGAATGAATTATTTAAAAAGAAATAGTGCTGTTTCATGCCAATGGTATTTTACTTAAGTCTGTCAAAACATTCAGTAAAGTGTCATCCGAACACTTGCTACCAGAAACTACAGTAACATACAGTCACGTGAATGAGACCTATTCCGGGCGCACACCCGGAAGTAGTCACAACAGTGTGCGGTTGCTATGGATGTAGAATAGTCGCTCGATATGACAGTTGGGGTTTGGTAAATATTTACGTGATGGTTAACACTTACCACTGTATGATCAACTCGTAGTAATAATCTTTAAACAGTGCATGCTTACCTATCAGAGAAGCTTATGTTTTCGACGAATAAAAGTTGAAAGGAACGACATACCAAAACAAGAGCTAAGGTTAATGTTGTGACATCTGAATGTGAATCCACCTGTCGCGTTCATACACTTGTGTTTGGTAAGTGTGCTTAGTATTGTTTTTGAAAATCCATAGTAATGTAGCATGTCTGTGGTGTGCTAAATTGTGTTATGTATTGGCTGACTAGTTAATGGCCGTAGCTTGAATTCTGTATAAGGAATAGCTACTGTCTGTCAGTCATGTTCTTTGATTTTAGTGCCAAAGAGTGAGACTCTTAATACCAGTTTATCCTTGCAACTCATTAAGTCATTTTGGATGTTAAAATCATTTGTTTAGTATTTACTAACCATGATCATGTGACTTTGCACAGTTTATATAGTGCCGATGTCAAGATGTCTGTGGAACTGGATGTATTTGTTGGAAACACCACCATTATGGACAAAGAGGTGTATCAACTGTGGCTGAATGGATATACAGGTAAAGTATAAATGAGACCATGAGCTATTGTAATATCTGTATAAAACATTATTAATATACTAGTCAATGTGGTCGCCCTCATAGTGAATGATGCAGTGAAGGTCCGGATAGAAGGAGGTGTGATGGAGGAGTGTGAGGCCAGTGCAGAAGTGCTGCTCAGTGACACCATGGACCAGTACAGAACTTTCCAGATGTGTGAGAGACTTTTGCACCACCCAGCTAAACTAGCCAATCAGCTTCTA